CAATGGTTTTAATCCCAGTCCTTTTACTTCCTAGCTGTTTGGCCTGGTGTTAGGAACTTCAGTTTCCTAAGTCTTGTTAGTAGAATGGAGTCATAATATTTCCCTCATAAAGTTCTGAGAGGTATATTAGCCAGATTTCATTCACTGTGAAAAAAATATCTGAGATAATCAACTTATAAGGAGAAAAGGCTTATTTTGGCTCATGGTTTCAGAAGCTTCAGTCCATGGTCACTTGGCCTTCTTGCTCTGGGCCTGTGGCAGCACAGTACGTCATGGCAGGAACATGTGGCAGAGGAAGCCTGTTCACCTCATGGCCGCCAAGGAAGCAAAGAGATAAGAAATAGAAGGACTAGAGCCCCAATACCCCCTTCAATGGCATATTCCCAGTGATATAATTTCCTCCCACTAGGCTCCACCTCCTAAAGGTTCTACCACCTCCCAAAAGCACAGGCTGGGGGCCAAGCCTTTAGTATATGGGCCTTTGGGAGATAGATATTCAAGGTCCAAAGTACAAGAAGAGGATAAAATGAATTTATACGTATAAAATGTTGATCTTGATGCACTAACAAGGCATGTGAGAACAACATATCTCTTTAATCTTCTAGTGCCTAGGTGGTACCCTGAGATGAACCCATCTATGACTTTGAAGGACTGATATTTCTAAACAGACTATGACCAAGAGTAGGAAAGTCAAACCCTGTACTAAGAACCACCAATCATCTGATAGGTTCATGGTGGGCACCAACAGCAGTGGGAGGGAAGGAGGGTGGGTGAGAAGACAGATTCAAGTGGGATGTGGGAAGTTCCAGTTCCTTAGATAAAGGAGCAGATCATATTGAACCAAGGGTCAACAATCACATATTCTGGACAATATATTGAAAACAAGTACTTCAAAGCACTAGGCAAGAACAAAAAGCAGAGATGCTGAAGGGAGACAAGGTCCCTGAAAGAAGGAACTAGGGTACTTCCTGCTGCATGGAGCTGCACAGAAGACTAGAACTGGAACAGAAAGCAGAAGTCTTACTGTCTAGGAAGATGAGATATGTCCTGAATTTTCAGGCTGGAAACTGGAGAGGGAGGGGTACTAGAAAAGAGAAAGCTACAGAAGTGGAAGCTCCAATATTAATGCACAAATTCCCCTCACATCCTTAGCTAACCCTGTACACACATGGAGAGGGACTCCAAGGATTACCACAGAAAGCAGTAATAGTAGGACTTTCCTGGAAAACAGTTTGGAGTTTGAGTCCTGACAAGTTAGAGAAGCTTAGCAGACACTTAAACTTTTGATTTAGTGCCACAAAGGCCATGTCCTACAGTAAGACCAGGACTAAGAGTTATGCCTAAGGCTACGAGAAAAGCCAAAAATAAACCTACCCAAACAAAGCCTAAAAACCAAGCTCCACAATCAAGTAACTTGATTGTCTATTGGAACAACATTCTTTAGAAGATGTTAAGATACAGTTTCTTCAATATACTACCCACAATATCCAGTATGCAACAAAACTATAGACATGTGAAGAAACAAGGAAATGTGACCCACAGTCAAGTGGAAAAAAGCCAACAAAGTCAGAGTATTCCTGACCCAGATGTTAAAATTAGTACACAAAAGATTTTTAAATGGCTATTATAAATACGCACAGGATTTTCAGGAAATGAAGGATAGAATGAATGACTGGATAGGAACTCCAGAAGAGAAATGAGAACTATAAAAATAATCCAAGTGGAAATTCTAGAGCTAAAAATACATTATCTGATAAGATATTTCAGGTGAAATTAGCAGTATGTTAGATACTGAGGAAAAAAGAATTAGTAAAGTTGAAGACAGGTAATAGAAATGATCCAAATTGAAGCATAAGAGAAGAAAAGGTATAAATAAATGAGTAAATAGTGGAACTTCAATGACCTATGTGACAACACATGTGTAAATGGAGTTCAAGAAGAGGAGAGGGAGAATTGAACATAAAAAATATTTGAATGATTAAAATAATGGCCAAAAATTTCCCCCATAGCAGTGGTGCTGAACCTGTGGCATGCATGTTATTTGTTTTTCATTTAAGACAAAAGATGTTAATGTGTGAGTCATTTTTTTCTAAACCAAAACCTCAGGATTCAGGTTTAATTGCAGTGTTGGCACTTTGTGATAAATAAGTGGGTTTTGCATTGCAGTTTGGGCACTTGTCTCTAAAAGAGACAAGTTTGCCATCACTGTCCTACAGCCTCAAATTCAGTGGGAAAAAACCTCAAACCCATTGGTCCAAGAGACTCAGAAAATCATACTTAATCACATCATAATCAAACTGCCAAAAGTCAAAGATAATAAAATCTCAAGAGAAAATAAAAAGCCAGAGGAGAGACTCACTATATGTACCCAGGAAACAACAACAAGGAAGGCAGCTGACTTCTCATCTGAAGCAATGTTGTCCAGAAGACAATGGAAAGACATCTTAAAAGTGTTGAAATAGGAGGTCAACTTGGGATATGTAAACCTTTAAATGTCAATAGGACTCTGAGGTTGCAAGATGCGGCAAAGTGGTCCCTCCCAAGCACATCTTGCATACCGCAGTATACACATATCCCCCCCAAACATACACTCCTGCCATGTACCTAGTATCTCAGTAGAATGTCCCAACATTTAAAAAACAAAAAGTTAACTGTCACTGTCAGAAAGGTGATAAAACACGAAAAGCACATGAAATCTTCTATACAAATTATAGTACATATATCGATTCTTTACATTTTGCTACTGTGTAAACATTACACATTTTTCATCCTAATAAAAACTAAAAATGAAAATGAAGCATCCTTTCTCCTCTAATGCTCTAGTCACACAATGCTTCTGTCCCACAGGCAAGTGGGAATGTGAGATGGAGCTCCTGGAAGGGCTGTGTGTGGGGTTCTGAGCTCTGGGAGTCATCAAATTAGAAGTCAGAGGGAGATGCTCTGGGTGAGCAGGGGAAGAGTAGGGAACAGGAGCAGTAGCGCACATTCCCTGAGCAATGGTGGATGGCAAAGGCCAGGTTTTGGGTGCATTATCTTATTTAATCCTCACACCCACCCTGAGTAATAAAGTATTATCATTTCCTCTTTTACAAATGTGGAACAAAGCTTCAAAGAATAAGAAAGTTGTCTAAGCTTAGTGACAGGGCTGGGATCTATACCAAGGTCTGACAGATTTTGAGCGCAGCTCTTCACCCTCCCCAGCCAGTCAGTCATTAGTTGTCCCCTTCGAACTGGGCCACACAACAGGATTGTCCCATGTGGCCCACACAGGCCCCTGTTCTCAGGGTACTCACACTCCAATGAAGGAAGGAATAAAACTCTTATTTTACCTAACAGTCATTGGACTACACACTAACCAGTGTGTTACACCAATGTGTCATATCTTATTCAACTTTCACAACAGCCCTGTGAGGTAGATATTTGTATCATCCCCGTTTTACAGTTAAGGAAGGTGATGCTCAGAGGTAATGAATGGCAAAACTCGAATTTGATTCCAGAGCTTATTACCTTTCCTCAGCAGGGCATATGATTGCCGTGAGCCACCAAAGGGGTAGAGAGATCTGTAAATATGGGCAAGACCCTGGTGATCCTGCCCCTATTTGCTGGGACCTAGGAAAAGACAGTGCTTATAGAAACCAAGGGGCTTGGGCTGTTCCTGGTCCCAGGGACTTCCTTCAGACCCAGTACTGCTGCAGCATCTAGTCACCTCTTTTGCCAGGATGGCTGTGACTGTGACCAGCTCCAAATGCCTAGTCTGTGGCTCCCATCAGGCCAGTCTCCACTCAACAACTGAAATAAAAGCAGGTCTCCATACTATGTTGCTCAAAACCTTGCAGTGGCTGTCTGGGTTTAAGTCTCACTTTTCCAACAGGGCTTCATCATTTCTCCTTGGCCCAAAGGGCTCCTCTTTCAGTTCTCCTAAAGTACTCCCTACAAATGCACTGGCCTCAGGGTCTGCTTCAGTTACTGCTGCTGTGTAACAAGTCACCACTAAAACGCAACAGCCTAGAGCAACCATTTTGTTACACTCTTGGCTTCTGTGGGTAAGGAGTTTGGACAAGAAAGAGTGGAATCGCCTATCTCTGCTCCCTGACCATCACCAGTATTTCCCACATAGTAGTTCAAGCAGAGGGATGAATCTATGCCCTGGGTGCACCTCTGGGGCTTGCTCTCCCCTGATCTCCCCGGAACCTGGTCTGACAGGCTGTCCAGAGGGAGGATGCTTGTTTGGTGGTATCTGACACCATTTTCTCCTTTCCTGCCCTGATCCTATGACATGCTGAGCTCCTCCTAACAAGGCAGACTCTGTGCTGAGAACTCCAAAGGGTCTTCTAGGGCTCCTAGAAGACCCCCCAAATCCCAGCTGATGAGACTCCTAAGGCTTGAAGTGTGAGATTCCAGCCTGCGTATCCTGCGGCATCTTTGAGTTCCCTGGGTGACCTCAGGGCAGCCCTGTGAGGTAGATTACTGGAGGTAAATGACTCACCGCTGCAGCAAAGGGAGCCTGATAGGTGACTTGAGGGGAAAGTAACAGCTCTTCTCCAGTGCACTCACCCCCCAGCCTCTGGTCCTGAGCCACTGGCTCATGCTAATGCCCTGGCTTCTGTGTGCTCAGCCTTGGGCTCCCTTCCTGAGGTTTGGAGAGGAAAGTGAGGGAGCTGACAAGACAGAGGCAATGGGGCTGAGCTGTGGCTGAAGTAGACAGGCTCTGTGGGGCAGTGCACAGCAGGAAGCTGTCTAGAGGCCGGCAAGCACAGCTGCAGCAGATCTAAACCCATTATCTGAGGCAAAGTGATGCACTCTGCCTCCACAGGGCGCCCTGGAGCTGCCCAGGCTTTGGGGAGCTGGCGAGCCAGGGAGTGGAGCTGGCCAGGCTGCCTGTGCCAAGGAAGGAGGGGGCTGCGGAGGCCGCCAAAGCAGGCAGGAGGGGCCGGGCCAGCTGGGGCCGGAGTTAGTGTGACATCACTGGGCGGCCCGCCCCTGTCTGGGGCTGAGGGGAGGCCCAGAGCCTTTCTGGGGCCTGGGGGATCCTCTTGCACTGGTGGGTGGAGAAAAGTGCCTGCAGCCAACCAGGGTCAGGCTATGCTCACAGTTTCCTCTGGCGGCATGTAAAGGCTCCACAAAGGAGTTGGGAGTTCAAATGAGGCTGCTGCAGTCGGCCTGATGATGGACCCCGAGCCCTGAGTGGTGCTGCCTGAGCCCCCGACCTGCAGAGGATGGCACTGAGGTGGCTGCCTCCCCTGCTCTGAGCAAAAGCAGGTTGCAATCAGCCCGGCAGCACCCAGGCCAGCCCCCACCTCGTCCCCAAAGAGCAGGCTGCAGTCAGAGCCGGCAGAGGCCAGTGAGGCAGTGCTGCTGGGCAGCCAGTACGGCCTGCAACTCGGGTCTCCTCCTGGGGTCCATGGACAGGCTGCCCTGCTGACGGCCACCGTGAAGCATGTGAGGAGCTGCCCTGGGAGCCAAGCAGGAGCAAGAGGTAAGGAGCCAGCTCACAGCTCTATGGCAAAAGCGGCAGGGGCAGGCACTGCAGCTGGCCCCCGGGGCTGGGGTTTCGGCCACCCGACCCCTCAAGCTGTGGGGTGTGTGCAGCTGACCCACGGGGGTCACTCCTGCTTTCATTTGGAGCCAAACAATGATGTGCCGGCAGCACTACGGAAACCTGTGCAGGGGCAGGGTTGGGTGAAAAATCGTGGGCTAGGAAGTTGAGGACTTCATCAGTGAGCCCCAGACAAAGAGGCTTTGGGATGAAGGCAGGCTGGTGTTGGGTGCGCAGGAGCAGCAGCAGCCAGGGTGTGCATGTGTGGAGGTGTGTGCTTTGAGGGGTGGCAGGCTGAAAGTTGGGGACAGCAGTGACAGGGTAGCCAAGGGACTGGCGAGTGTATTTGGGCTTTGGGCTCCTGGGCACCTAGCCTGGAGAACTCACCAAGGCAGAAGCAAAAGCAAATACAGTCCTGAGGCAGCGGGGCCCTGGCTCCCAAGCTCTCTGGAGCCGGGAAGCCTTTGCTCATATCCCTCCAGCTGGTGAGGAGAGGCGCCGAGGCTTCTGCCTGCGCTAGATGAGATGTGTTGGCTACGAGTTTCTGCCACTGTGACTGGGGCAAAGCGCCGCCCTGGCTCTCCTTCTATGCCCAGGGGTGCCTGACCCCTCCTAGCACTGGATGGCCCCCGGAGTCCTTCAGCAGCTGGAAGTGGCTTCCCTGGCAGCCCCACAAGGGGATGGTGCAGGCACCACATACCAAGTCCCTTGAAAGTGCTCGTGGTTAGATAACGTTTCCAAACAGAAATTCTTCACTGATCCTTCCCTCTGCTTCTGTGATATGTGTGTCACGGGTCAGCTATTGCCTCTGTGTGGGATTATGAGAGCTCCCAGAGGCCAGGTTGGTTATTCAGAAAAGGATCTCTTTTCACCAGGGCTCTGAGGAAAGCTGAGAATGCCACTTCCGAAGACGGGCAATTGCTCCTCACATGGATTTTTTCTAAGTGTAGGCAGAGTAGGGTAGAGCTCAGGATCAAGCTTCAGGTCTGGGCTCTTCGACTTACTAGCTAACTGTCTCTGGCAGAAGTTAGCCTTGCTAAAGCCCAGTTTCCTGCTATGTGAAATGGGACAACAATTGTGCCCATCTCAGTGACAGCTGATCCAGGTGCTTTACCAACTCAAAGAATCCTCACAACCATTCCATAATATGGGCACTGTTATCCACCCCCATCTCACAGGTGAGGAAACTGAGGTAGCAGTGAAATGCCATGCCCAAGGTTGTGCGGCTCGTCCATGCTGAACCAGGGCTTGAGCTCAATGGTGTGGTGCCGGGGCTACCCTGAGCCTTAACACTACTGCTTTCTAGGAGGAATACACGTAACCTTAGTCCTCAGCATAGTCTCTGGTCTGCAGCAAACCCTTAGAAAACATTAGTCACCAGTTTTTTTGTTTTGTTTTGTTTTTTGGTACGGGGGATCGAACTCAGGTCTTTGCGCTTGCGTAGCAGGTGGCAAAACCACTGAGCTAAATCCCCGGCCCAAGTCACCAGTTTTTGTGAGCCATAGCAATCAGAATCACACAGAGGGGAGCACAGGGATCCAAATTCTTTCCCTGTTCTACACACAGAACCCTGCTTCAGTTTTCAGAAAAATTCCAGAAGGCAAGGCCAATGCTGTGGCCACTAGCACTACCTACTGAGGAACCTTCCAGGCGTCCAAAGGGGCTTTATGACTAGAGTGTGGGGCCATACAGAGTGTCTGAGTCCCTGAGGTCCACATTAAAGAAAAGTATAGACACATGGACCAAAGCTAGCATACCAACCTCACAGGCAGAGCACCCGGCCATCCCACCACCCCTCAGGCACTGCTCTCTGCCTGTTGGCATCCCCCAGAGTCACATGGGTGAGAACATGCAACTTCTCTGAGTTGCAGCAGGACCAATGGCCAGGCCTGTTCTGGAGTTGCAGAGAAGGCGCTTCCACCAAGCCTGGCCATGGTAGCAGGTATTGCTCCACACAACACTGGTGGATCTGAGCCCAGGACAATAGCTTCTGTCCCGTCGCTGCAGGGTCCCAAGGTCTCCGAGCTCGCAGGCATTTTGAAAGCTGCTGTGAAATATGTGCTTTTCCAGCATAGGCCTCTGGGGCTGTTGAAGCCACAGGTTTCCCTATTTTGGCCTGGAGCATGATGGCTCACATCCTCTCCGGCCAGAGGCTCTTACAAACTTCGTGGGCCTCTCTAACAAAAACTGATCAACTGCTCCTCAACAAAGGCAGTCTTGGTGGAACAGACGCAAATGTGTAATGTATATATGCAGGAGGGCACTGCCAGTGCTGTTGGAAGTTTGTAGGCAGAGCAAGGATCTCACAATGACTTATAAAGTAGTCATGAGGCTGAGACATGTACTTGATCTCATTTCATCCTTACCACAACTTAGGAGGTAGGTTCTAGTTTTAGCGCCCCATTTTACAGATGAGAAAACCAAGGCTCGGACAAGTTAACTCGCTCAAAGTTTAAGTGATTATATAGGACTAGAACTCAGGACTATGGCTCAAAACCTGGCCTCTGCCAGCTCACTCCCCTGCCTCGTTCATGGTGCCTCAACTTCTCTGATCCCGATGCCCTATGTCCCAGCAGCCAAGCCTGCTGTTGCTGACCTACAGAGTGCGGCACCACGCCCTACATGAGAGCCATGTGCTCACAGGTTTTGGTACAGAGCTTGCTGTCCATGGACTCCCACTTTTGAGACAGAAGAGGCACAATTATTTTATCCCTTACAAAGGAGCCCTGGCAGCCATATAGCCTGGACACGCAGCAGCACTCTCCCTGACATCAGAGATCTGGCGCTAGCACGTAGGGCAGGGCCTCAGGGAGATGTTTTTGTCTATGTCACTGAGGCACAACTTACTCCTTTTCAACATTCCTGCTTGGAGACTCCTATAGGGCTGCCGCCTGGAGCAGCTCCTGAGACAGCATGGGGAGATGGCACTGGTAGCTACAACAGAACTGACAGCAGCCCTGCCCAGAGGAGGTACCTTCCACCTCTGGCTTCTCTGAATCATAGCCCATTTAATCTGGAATGTTCTCAACTGACAACCCACAGGTAGGGGTGGAGCTCCCCTGAGTAGAGACCATAGCCCAGCAGGGTGAGGCAGGCAGATGTTAAGCGACAACACAAATACACAATAGTATGAGGCCTGTGGAGCTGAGAGGGTCCTCAAGATAGGTAGTGGAAACTGAGGCCTCGGGTGCAGTACCTCTCCCACAGTCCACCAGTGGCCAAAAAGCAAGGGTTCAAATCCAGACCTGTGCTCACTCTAGCCCACTCACTCCTGTGATGAGTGCACAACTGGGATGAGGAAGGCTCAGGAAAAAGGCAATACAGTGAATAGCAGATCCTTTCTGTGACTTTTGTAAAACACCCCAAATAGAAGGGTTATTCAGCCACAGACAGCCTGGAGTTTGTGGTCATACACAGGTTACATCAGAAACCTCATTTGGGGGCAGTTTCTATGACAAAACTATATTCTCTCACAGGGACTGTGAGTCTTATGACTGATTTAATAACAGCTTGGGGTGGGGGTTAAGATGTTACAATGTCCTCTTCCACGTACACATCAATTGTGAGACACATTCTGATCACAGGAATGTTAAAATGTCCGGTGGGAGAGCCAGGCCTCTGACAATCAAGCTATTGTGTCAGTTCTGTTCCCTGGTGAAATGAGCCTGTCTTGGGGCCAGTAGCCCCAGAGCCTCAGTCCCTTGTGCTGCCCAGTCCTCGGGCTTGTGGGTGAAGCCTGCTGTGGAAAGCCCAGGGTGAATTCTGTTCTTATGTCCCAGATGCCCAAAGCCCTGTGTGAGAAGGTCCCACTCCAGCCTTGGCCAGGGAAGGCTGTGTGTGTGTGGCTCAGCCACTGCCAAACCTCCAAACCTACCCCAGCCAGGCAGAGAAGGGGTATGTGGAATGAATGAGGCCCTGGAGTGATGAAGCAACTTGGAGCCCCTGGAACCCAGGCTTCCAATCTAATTAGCCTGCCTGATACGGTCTGTGTCTAGATGTCCCCCCAGAACCTCATGAGGTCATAGGTGGAGCTCTTCAGAGGTGGCTGGATCTAGAGTGTGTGACGCTGGGATTAAGGGTGCCCCACCCTGGATGTGAGTGCTACCTGCTCTAAGCATGGATAGCCTGGATAGAATATAAGGCATGGAAAGAGGGCTGCTGTGGTCACTGCCTATCGCTTGCTGCCTGCTGCCTTGGTGCCTTCTGCCTTCTCTGCTTGCCATCAACTGTTTCTCCTCTGCCATGTGCCACTCTGCCTGGGAGCCAGCCAACTATGGGCTGAAATCTCTACATGTGAGCTACAATAAACCTTTCCTTTCACTTTGGGTGTCGGCTATTTTGTCTCAGCAATGAGAAAGTAACTAAGACACTGTCCCACCAGGGAACACGCCAGCCCTTCTGGGCTGTCCAGCCAGGCTCTTCTGGGGCACCTCTCCTCCTCTCTCACTCCTTGCCTCCTACCAATCCCCAGCCTGCCTAGATTAGGACCCCTGAGCCACTCTATGCAGGTATCATCCCTGGCATTATGATGAGTGCCTGGTACCGTGGACCCCTGGAGGATAGGGATTTGCCTCCTCTTTTTTTTCCTGATCTATCTCTACCCCACCCCCACCCTCACCCCTATGACTAGCCAGAGGAAATGCTCGGGAAACATGGAATGAACACAATCCTTGAGCTCCCATTTGGTAACCCAGGTGCCGTCCTGGGTCCTGGGCATTCAAAGGGGAATCTGCTCTCAATCTGCTGTCACAAGCCTACAGTACAAGGCAGATAGATGCAGTCTGGGTCCCGGGTGCTGGGCTGGAGGCAGCTACAGCTGCTCTTGTAAGCTGGAAGGAAGGGACCTCACTGCAAATGTGTGTCTTCACAGAGAGAAGACCTTGAGAGAGAGGCCACCTTAAAAAGGAAGACAGACACACGTCAGGTGGGACGTGGGAAAG